ATTGAGAACGTAAAAGAAAGCAAGCTGAACTCGCGGCTACTGCCGCAAAATGTTGCAAATTATCTACTTTGTTCAGGTAAGTGTCAGATGGTGTTGTAAAAAAACATTTGCCGAGGCAGAGCAGATTTGACTCAGAGAAGTACCAAGCTCTGCTGGGAGGATATAGGACTGGTAGCGTGCAGTGTGCAAAAAACGAACGTCAAGTCAATTGTCATGTACACTAAAAGAATACGGGTGTTCTGAGCAAACAAATACAAAAATATTGACGGCTCCTTTATTGTTGGATTTTGTTTTTTGAAATAAAGCTATATATATATATCTATAAATATATATATTCTGTCTCAAATCGAAGGTCGTATTGCGTAGGTTGTCTAAACTTGGTAATTACAGTAATTGGTAATTAGTGACTCAGTATTGACCCAATTCCTTTTTGCAAAGTTTCTGCTTTTTTGAAAATAAAAAAATGCATCCTTTATGGAAATAAAATTCCTCCACAAGGCCCGAGGTGTCCTATGAAATTTCCAGATTTTGGCCTTGTGCCCAGGCTTAATGGCCTTGTGCCCTAGAAAAAATATGAATAGCCAAGGCCAAAGTGGCTGTGCCCTCCTAAATCCTTATGTCTAGCCCTGTATCTGTCTGTCTGTTAGTGTGGGTGTGGGTGTGTGTGTGTGGTAAGTGGACATACTATGAGTTTTCCTATATGTAACAATACACAAGACTTTTCTCCCCATCAAAAAAATAGTTTACAGAAGCAAAGACGTGCGGGCAGGCTGCCGTCCTTTGGCTCGCATGATTGGTGATTTCTTCATTTATCCTGTCAATTCGATTCCTTTCTCTTCCTCCCACAACCGCCACTGTTTTAGCAAAAGAAAACACTTGAATTGTTTGTTTCTGACATGCAGCACTGAGATGTCGCATTTGTGTTGTGAAGGCAGCATTATTAAGTATTTGTGAATCGTTCATAAAAGAGCGACCATAGAGCAATTAAGTCACCCCTACTTTTACACTAACAAAAATAAAAGTTTTTTTGGAAAGTTTTCGTAGGTTTCTGGCGAGGCCTCCTAAGCACCAGGCAGGTGATGGTTTACAGAGGCAGAGTTGGTACCGGCGGGGATATCCCTTCCTATTTCCTCTCGCTGTCCAAAAACTAGGTCAGGTGATGTGGTATCCCTGAACTTCCCTTTCTGTATGTGTGTGTGTGTGTGTGCGTGTGTGTTTATGCTGTGTGTGTGTGGTTGTGCATCGTATGCGTGTGTGTGCACACGTGTGTGGGTCTGTCTGTGTGTGTGTGTGTGTCTCTGTGTGGGTGTGTGTGTCTGTCTGTGTGGGTGTGTCTCTGTGTGGGTGTGTTTCTGTGTGTGGTTGTGCATGCGTATGCGTGTGTGTGAACACGTGTGTGTGTGTATGTGTGTGTGTCTCCGTCTGTGTCTCCACCCGGTATTGGACTGGACTCCCAGCTGTGTTTCCTCCTATCAACTATAATTTCATAACTAAGGCGCCTTTAGAGATCTTCAAGGAAGCTGGGAGTTGAGGTCATGCTTTATGAGATTTTTTTTTTACATTTATCATTACTATTATTGTCATTATTATGATAAGGTTCAAATTAAATTCAGAATTTCTTGTAATGAGAAATCCATAGTGCGTGTGTAGGTGGGATCATATCGAAATGGAAAAAAAATTAAATGATACTTCATTTGCTATTTGAACAACTGCAGGCAGGCTTGTGCTCTTTGCTCAGACACACAGGCAGGTGAGAGGGAGGGTTGGGGTCCATCCCGCACCCCTGCAGCATTTTCTGGGGTTAAGGCTCTTGCTCAAGGGCCAAACAGAGATGTGACCGTGGGTAGATGTGTACTCGTGACCGTGGGTAGATGTGCACTCAAGTAAGTGTTGTTCCTTCAAAAAAGAATTGCTCTAAAAATCAAAAGAGTGTAAAAAATATCAGGTAAAACAAAAGACAAATCTATCTGTCAAGTTATTTCTTTTCAAAAGACCCATTTTACATTCCGGTTACATTTATTTATTAGACATTTTGGTCCAAAGTGAAGCGCAAGTGAGGCGAATAGCATATTACAGACATAGGGCTGTGGAGGAGTCAGCTAGGCGTGAGTGCAGCCGGGCCGAGCTGCCAGTGACGGGCGTGAGTGCAGCCGGGCCGAGCTCCCAGTGACGCCACGGGCGTGAGCGCAGCCGGGCCGAGCTCCCAGTGACGCCACGGGCGTGAGCGCAGCCGGGCCGAGCTCCCAGTGACGGGCGTGAGTGCAGCCGGGCC